GAGTGCTGGGATTACAGGCGTGCGCCACCATGCCCAGCGACCCTTGTTCTTTTCTATCTACACTTGCAACATGACCTGTTTACCCACTGGATCCATATTTTCTGAGTGGCTGTACTTGTAATCCTATTGGCTGATCACAGTTTTGAGTTACATTGTACCCACCTTGCAGTTCTGTACCCACCTGGTGATTTTGCTCTATAAAACTTCCTTTGAGAAGTGTGCTCGTTGGCAACTAATTTTTGGGTCTTCTCCTATCTCTCTGGAGCTATCTTTCTCAATAAACTTTTTCTCCCAGGTGTGGTGGCACACACGTGTAATCCCAGCACTCAGGAGGCTGAGGCAGGAGGATCGTTGCAATTTTGAGACCAGCCTGAGTTACAAAGTGAGCTCAAGACTGCCTGAACAGTATAGCGAGACCCTGTCTGAAAACAAAAAAAACCCAAACGTTTCCTACTCTTAATCTCTGTTGTTCCTTAGAATTCATTCTTCAATTTTGAGGAACACAAACTGGGTGTATCTGACATCTGGCAGGCTGGGCGTTGCATTTATTTCCCCTTTATCACAACAACAACTGATGAATGCAGGCCCTTCTTTGCCAACTCAAACTGTTTGCTGCCTGATCTTTAAAATTACAAATGCAAGAGTTTGCTCCCGCCACGCACACCTTTCCCGAATGGAAAGTGTCTGAATGGGGAACAAGAATCAAGTTATATCATGTTCAGGTACAAATTCTCTATGATGACTGTGATCACTATGTATATCTAAAATGTATCAATAAAATCCGTTTTCTTGCAGTTGACTCAGATTTATCTTTCTTTGTGGCAGGGCAGTGCTCCATTGTGCATGAGTACCATGTTTTCTTCACCCTTTCATCTGTTGATGGATATGTAGCCTGCATTCAAGACTTAGCTATTATGACTTGTGTGTTATAAACAGACATGCGTGCCTTCCTGTAAAAGGGTGTCTTTAACTCTTTGGGGAAGGTACCCAGAGGGAGGATATCTTGGTGAAATGGAATTTCTAGTTTTGGTTTTTTGAGGAGTTTCCCTACTGATTTCTTATCAAGAAGAAATATACATTGAAACAGTTGTCTAAACTGGGTATTGATGAACTATTTCATTCACCTGTGTCTCTCTTTGGGCATTTGAATGAACAAACAGTAGTATGACTCCTGAGCTAATTAACAAACTAAGAAACAGCAAACACGGAAGCCATCATGTTGGAGAATCTGATGATAGCCTTCCTCCCACTCTCTACCTTGGGAATCTCACTCTATTTCGGTATAGCAATAGATTGTTACCCGTCTCTGTCACCATCACAGGATTACAGTCCATGCCACAAACCCAGGGAGCAGACCAGGAACAGTTTCGTTTGGTGCGGTCACCTCTCAAAATCTAGCAAGTGTGCAACAATTCACTCTGGGGCATTGTGGGGAAATACCTGCTCTCCACCCTTCTGGACCAGGTTCTGTGCTCTGAGAAAGCATCTTTTTTGGTCTGCATTGTTGTTCCATCATGCTCTGTCTTGCGGTATTTGGACAATTGTAGCCTTTACAAAAAGAGAAGAGGTCTAGAAAAGCAAAGGGGGCGGGTATTTATTTCCCCATCTTCCTTTTACCTGCTGGGAATGCACATTTGGATAGCGATTGAATTTTTCTTCTGCAGCCTAAATCTCCTTCTAGGTTCTGAAAGCTTAATCTCTCAACTTGATTCCTTCAGTCCAAAGAGACGTAAGAACCTCCTATGCCACATGCTAAACAAGGGGTTCCCCCAAATCCCTGGTTGATTTCCTATC